AAAACAACTTAACTGAACAGTTTAATGTATCTTTTTTCTTTCTATATTTCTTTTTTTTTATTTCTTTTGTTTTTAGTTTATATATATATATATATATATATATATATATAGAGAAATTATCTTTAAATATTTTGTTTTTATAAATACAAAACAACTTAACTGAACAGTTTAATGTATCTTTTTTCTTTCTATATTTCTTTTTTTTTATTTCTTTCGTTTTTAGTTCAACTAATTGGGATTGTAGTTCTTTTCCTCACTAAAGCCGTTTTGTCAGATTTTCATGTACTTTTTTGCTTCAAGTGTTTTGATTGTCCTCGTAGATGGTTGGTTTGGTTCATGGCTTATAACAATTTAAGAATTTTTTTCAAAACCCTATGGGAAAAATGAATGGGAAAAAATACTGGAACCAGCGCCACTGAAAACGTTGGCGGGCACTAACGCACTCTATACTGATATGCACATTTCCTTTGTTACATACAGTCATGCTTTTGAAGTACAAAAAAATAATACAGTATAAATAGCGTTCTGAGCTAAAGAGTTGCATGAGTAATGGAGGGATATGGTTTCAGTAACAGATGGACACTTTCTGGTGCGGTGTCACGATGGCAGCAGTTAGTGGTTGAGTAATAGCTGCCTGACTCTCCATGTGTTATTCAGCTAGTATCATCCTGCCAGACTCTTATCACGACCAGGAGGTCACTGGTAACTCACAAGAGCTGGACGACCCCCATGACAACCGCCTTGGACAACATCTTAACTTGTACTCCAGCAGACACACATGACATGATGGATGTTCTCTCTCGCTTTCTCTCTCTCTCTCTCTGTCTGCTTGTGCTCAGCTGGCACGCTTTCTGGGACCAATCTATTTAGACATTTCATCATCCTGGCACACACAGTCACCATCTAGCTAAATCACACCTAATTAAGTCACATAATTAAGGAGGTTTGGTGTGTTTTTAAATTAAATTTGGTGCTGAATGTAATGCAATGAAGTTACAGTCATTTCAGTTCATGCTAATAAATTCAGGGTTAGAAATCCCCACAAATAATAGTACTGTAATTTTACAGTTGTAATGTAAAATAAAATCATCATTGTATTATTTTTTTCTTAAATACTCAATTATGTTACAAAAATATTACAATAGTAATTTCATATTTGGATTTTATTTAGTAATGTTATATATTTTTATTTGTTATTATTATTATTATATAGCCATATTAACATATGATCACCAAACTTGAATCTGAATAAGCTCAAAAAAGTAGTTCCTGGAAACGGCATTAACTTTGAAAACAGCTGAACTACTGTCACACTACTGATAAATGTTGCTATACAGTAAGTAGCATTGCTGCATTTAGTTACTCCCCAACACTGACCTAAACCTAAAGAAAGAAAAAACCATGTGACATAATGAAGGGAAATGAGAGTGAGTGAATTAGAGCAAGTCAATGACTAAAATAAGAAGAAGTGAGACAGAAGAGGGGAACTCTTCAGAGAGGAGGGGAGGTGTGGGAGTCGGGTGGCTCTATTCCTGCAGTCCTGGCAGCAGAAGGACCTGAAAGGACTAATCTTATTAGTCTGACGAGATGGATTAGGACACAAAATCGGGGGCCAGACGGGGTGGACGTGGGGGAAAGAGTCTGCGAAGAAAAGAAACAAGGCAGAACGGGTAGAATATGACAAAAGAAATGTTGCAATGATGGACAGTAACGACAAATGCTGCAACAAATGCTGATTTTTACATGAGTTTGTTGAGCACACTCTGAATACTTCACAAAGATTAAAGCAGCACATAATCAGATTAGAGCCATGTCACTGCACTTCTAGATGCGATTGCTTCTGTTCTCTAGATTAGTTTGTAGTCATATTGACTGGAAGAATGGGCAACAGATTAGATTTGGCCTGATGTTGATGTATGACTCTGGCCAGAACCGCAGGCGTGAGGTTGAAGAGCGCAGTTACAAGATTAATAGCTACTTTCTGCTCTGTTCATTTAGACACACACAGGGGAGTAAAAGAGACCAACATATATATATATATATATATATATATATATATATATATATATATATATATATATATATATATATATATATTATTAACATATTAAAGACATTCCAGCACAGTTTCATCTCAAAAAGAAATCAGAATTTCAATCCCCAGATTATTTTACGGACTTCACTGTAGTTCCACATTTGATGCACTACCAAATTGCATCTGGAATGATATATTAACTAAGCAAACCTGCAAAAATAATTTTTTTGCCATCTGAATGATACACTCCCCTAAAGACTATCATTAAGATGCACATGCTATCAAGTTTGCCTGCAAACCTTTAATAAATCAGGGAATAACATAGACTTCATGCTACTTTATGTAAATATAATAATGTCAGAGTAGTGTTATTTTAGTAATATTTTTTTATATTTTTTATTTAAATTTTAGTTTAAGTGATTATACTTTTGTCATTTCTATTAGTTTTTTATATTCATATTTAGCTTCAAATTATTTTTATTTCAGTTTTAGTAATTTTAGTACTTCAACTTCAACTTATTTAGTTAGGTGCCAAGACAACACTTATAATCTCCTAAATTTAAATACGTTTTTTTTTAATCTTATATCTATATTTTATTTCAGATATATTTCAATTGCTGAAAATTATTTTTGTTAGCCTTACTTAGCCATTTTAAAATTTGGTTCATGAAGTAAATTATTTAAACCATTTAAAAAAATAAGTTCTTGCAACAATTTTCCGCCAACGTACAGCTATGTAAACACGCACACACGTGCACACACACACACACACACACACACACACACACACACGTAAGTTTACTTAGCTATTTAAATGGGGACATTACATAGACTTCTATTGTTTTATATACAGATAGTTATACACTTTTTAACCTAAACCCACCCCTATCCCTCAGAAAACTTTCTGCATTTTTACAATTTAAAAAAAAACTTAGTTTACTTTATTTTTATACCAACTTTACAAACGTCCCCAAATGGAGGTTTTTGGCGATTTTGTCAGGTTTTGCTCACTGTTGGGTACAAATTTGTCCCCAAAATATGGTTAAGTAGGTACACACACACACACACACCTTTGAACTCACTGGAACGCCTCATGTCTTTAGCATTTTTTCCAGGTCATTGTCTGGCTCCTTAACATACCGGCTGCCAGTTGAAGGCGTTTCTGAGGCGCGCGCGCATGTGTGTGTATGTGTGTGTGTGTGTTTAAACAACTGGTCCAAAATATGATCCTAAACTGTGAGGACAAACATTTGTGCTTTCAGTCAAATATATCTTTAAGGTGTGTAACCACTGATCTATAATAGAGAATATAATAAAATATAGATCAGTGCGTGTAACCCTTATGTGCTGGCAGATACAACAGTGGTCTTATACTGCATACTGACACCTATTGGTGTGGATGTAGTGTCGGACCAAAGTAAAACCTCTCAGAAACTGATGCCATCCAATTTTTTGTCTTCGAGTGGTGCATAACAACAAAATAGATTAAATTATTTTTGCCGTAGCTGATGAAGAAATTGGCATGTGATTCTGAAAAAGAGAGACATCCAAGACAGCTAAACTACAGCAGTCACATGGTCTATTTGTGATGTTTTTTTTTTTAATAATGCCCACAAAAAGAAGGATCAACAGCTGGCATGTATTAACGTCACAAACTGCCCTTTGGATTCTTACTTCTGACATCTAAAATTAATCTGATGGAAACATAATCTATAGCTCTAAACTGGTTTTGAAATATATAAATATTTCCAAATCTACAGTATGCTAGTGGTCATGATTTCAGAAGTATTGTATCTACTGGTCGATGGGTTTTTCAATCTCTAATGCACAAGGCCAGAAATTAACACAAGTCAAGTGCTTATGCATATATATATATATATATATATATATATATATATTAAATTTACACTCTTAAAAATAAAGTTTTCAAAAGGGTTTTTTTTCACAGCAATGCCATAGAATAACTTTTTTTGGGTTTCCAAAAAACTTTTCAGTGAACAGTTCCTAAAGGAACCATTTTTTTCTAAGAGTAAAGAACATATTAATAATCTATATATATATATATATATATATATATATATATATATATATATATATATATATATATATATATATATATATATATATAATGGTTGCAAAACATACTCAAAATTGTTTAAAATTCGAAATTAGAATTTTAGAATAGTTATTTCACAAATAAATAAAAAACATTGTGTATAATTCATTCACAAGTCTGTCTGTAAAATGTTGGAACTGCCAGCAGAGAAAGTGAACACAAGTGAACAGTGTCTTTTAAACAGCCAACTATGCATATTTACCAGCTGATGTCAAACGATCGGGATTGTTTAAATGTAGATAATGTTGGAGTCATAAACTCATTCCCAGAAATAACAATCAAGAATCCAGCAACGTTATAGTGCGATCAGCATTAGAGAGCAGAGAACACAAACACACACTGCAGCTACACTAAAGCTCTTCATTCTTCATCTGATGGCTAGTCTAATGGTGTAACAGTGAAGTGTGGTCACTGTAAACACTCTGCGGCTCTCATTACCTGCTCTGGAAATATGATTAGATGTCTCACGTTACACACAAGAATCCCAGGTCTCAGTCACCACACAAGCGTATCTGGTCCTGACAGACTGCAGTTTATCAGCACCATTTTCCCTCCTTTCCTTTTCCGCAACGTAATTTCAAAACAAACATATAACCAAAACAATAATCCAAAATGTTATGTCTGAGGATGTTATGTTTCCGTCTGTACGTTCTCAGGCTTGAGACAAATGTCCTTCAAAAGTAAGTCAAGGGTCGGATCCTGTGGCGCTCATACCGAATGTGTTGCTTTGAATCTGGCTCGCAGCATTTTCATTTCAAGTGACAAAAAATACAGTAAAAAGGGAGGACAAGGAAGTTTTGAAAGCTTTCTTTCTGGGTCTTTCCTCAATTTTTAGCACCGCAGTCTTACCTCCATCCATGCATGCGGAAGCCAGGACACTGTTCTCCACAGCGCATACACGGCTGCCCCCGGTCTGGATCCTCAGCTTCTGTCTGCGAGACAATTACACACACTGTCAAAACTATTTCATAATGTACATCCTATTTACAGCAAGTTGTATTAACCTGGATTTCTAAATAAATTGGTAATGCAATTTGATCTGAACTAATGGGGCAGTGACATGACACCATTTTCATAAAAAAAAAAAAACATTTTATGCGTTTTGGTCTTTCATTTACACAACAACTGCATTTTGGGCGCCTAAAAATGCAAACGGGTTTCCAAGTGCACGTTTTTGAAAACAATACTGTTATCGTCTCTGTGTCACAAACCCATGAATTTAATTCATAGTAATGTGTATGTGTACATGCGTGTAGTAGGGATCCTGAAGTATTGCTATATCGATACTCAAATAAAAAATATTGATAGTGTTTTTTTAACCAGCGATTTTGTTTATCTAACAAAAAAATTTAATGCATACAATATGCATTGAATTGGACGAATAACCTATGTTAGCGAATAATTGTGTAGGATAGAACTATTTTCCTGCTCATCTGAACACACGCAAATGCTGCAAGACAGAACCAATCCATCACAGAGGGTTCACTCACTTCTGACAGTGCATTCAAACATGGCTGCGTTTCCCAAAACTATCATAAGCATAACCATAACCATTGTATTTGTAGATTTCCATGGTTACCACTACAGTAAACATATTTTAACCATGTGTAAACAAAAATATAACCTAATAAGTTGCAATTAAATCGTATTGGATGTTAAAATGTGTTTCAAATATAAAGTTAAGTGGTCAATCATTAGCCATTTTACTCTTAGTAGTTTAATAAATTTCATAATTTAAAAGTTCAGTTTACAAGTATTGTATCGATATCGACGATACTGCCCTTTAAAAATATCGGTATCGTATCGAAAAACAAAATAAGTGCTATCGCCCATGTGTGTAGTGTTTCTTTACAAAGTGACATTGCCAACTACTGGCCTGACATGTATAATACAGCGTTTTAATTTTTACAGATCTAAGTGAATGGGGATCATTTTGACAATGTTGTCGACTGTACGCAAAACTTTTCAAGACATAAAGGAAAAACTTGTAAACGTACTCTTAAAATCACAATAATAAATAAACACAGTGTGATTCAACAACATCAAAAATAAAAAAAAACACAAGCAATGATACTGTATGTAAAACACCATGTAAAAGTTCACATTTCAGAGTGTACAGCAGTTAACTTAAAACATAATTAATTCAATATGTTGTTTAGGTAGGCAGGTGTGTAGTATAAATACATTCCTGGACTCGCTACATCCACCCAGCTTTAATCTGTATGTTCTGACCTGTAACGTATTAACAATCTAGAAAATAATTCACTCAGGTGTTGTAAAAGGGATAGTTCACCCCAAAACGAGAAAACTGTCATCATTTACTTGTTTATCTTCTTCCAAACCTGTATGACTTTCCTTTTACCTGTGAAACACAAAAGAAGATATTTTGAAGAATTTTGGTAACCAAAATGTTTTGGTGACCGTAGACTTGCTCTGATTGGAAGACACACTTCTCAAAATGTCTTAAATTCTCAAAATAAATTTTCAATTTTGGGTGAACTATAGTATAAGTACACTGTTACCACAGTTAAAATGTCTTGGTACCTATGGTGCTTACATTTGAAAACGAGTTACTTGGCTTAAAAGTTATTTATTTATTTATCTGACGACTTCCCAGCTACCGTGGCATTATGGGTTCATAAAGTGTCCACTGGCTATGATACTATGATGATGCACATTTTAGAGTGGCCTTTTATTGTGGCCAGCCTAAGGCAAACCTGTGCAATAATCATGCTGTCTAATCAGCATCTTGATATGCCACACCTGTGAGGTGGATGGATTATCTCGGCAAAGGAGAAGTGCTCACTAACACAGATTTAGACAGATTTGTGAACAATATTTGAGAGAAATAGGCCTTTTGTGTACATAGAAAAAGTCTTAGATCTTTGAGTTCAGCTCAAAGTGGGGGCAAAAACAAAAGTGTTGCGTTTATAATTTTGTTCAGTATAATATCCTAAATAATATTTTTCTGTTTTTCTAGGTCTGCAACACTAGCTGCGCCAACAAAACACAGCAACAAAATGTTGAAGAGCAACTCTGTGTTAAGTACAAATCTAGATGATTCTACTGTACATGTCAGGCTTAGTTTAGCCTCAAGGCCTTCTGCTTGTTTGTGGGAACAAATAAAGCAATAAAACAGAGAACTTGTTCTTCAAAACCTGCAAGTGACGTGGTTAGGGTGTTTGAAATCTTTGACGTACCTATATACGGCAACACAACAGCCTTAAAACTAGGGCTGGGTATCGTTTGAATTTGATCAATTCCGATTCCGATTCTTTTCGATTCCCAGTTTCGATTCCAATGTGATTAAATAATGACATCAAACATTTATCCTGGGTCTCTTTTTTGCAAACCATTTATTGGAGCTGAATACCATGAACAAAAATCAACAGGCTACATAAAAACTGGACTCTTTAAGAGCTGTTTGTGTGCAAAATGGAACTGCATGATTCTGGATAAATTGAGTTTTTTTTCTTTCCCCCAATGGAAGTTGTGGTTCTCTCATGATTCTGAAGAAAAAACATTAGACAACTAAACAAAATCACATGTCATTTATGAATTAATAATTAAATGACTCACTCAAGATCATTACTGGATGAATCAGCATTCTTGAACGAATCTCTTGTATGATTCAAAGACAAATACATTTTAACAGCCCCTTTTCGCCACCTACTGGCGTAACAATGTAATCGATAAATCTTCATTTGAAGTGTCAAATTACTTTCAAAAGGTGATTTACTCTATTTTAATCGCTACCATACACATCGTACACACAGTTTATATCTGAACTGTAAACTTTTATCCCAGTACTTCTGTGATTTGAATGTTTGTAACACAGAAATAATGATACTGTGTGGCTGATGAGACTGTGAAGCCGTTTCATTCATGACAGATGTCAGCTGCTCTCTTTAGGTCAAAGGCAGCGCGAATGCAGATTTTAATGTTCAAATCACACTGGTGTGATAGTACGCTGCACATATGAACCAAGTGATCACAACATTGATCGCACACGTCAAAGGTGGAGGAATGAAACAGACGAATCACTGTAATTTAGGAATAGAATCACGTTGGTGTTTGAATCGTGTTCGCGGTCTTTAACAATCTAATAAATTAAAGTGCTTTGCCATGTTGGTGGTGACGCCTCTCTTGCAACATGTTTAGCTATCACAGATATTATACTTAGCTTTTTTGGCTTCTGATCGCAAACTTTGGAGCGCTTAGATTAGCGAGCAAGGTCCTGGCAGATCGCTAGGTCCGGTCCTCACAGATGAAGAAAAAAAAGTGCATAGGAATCGATAGACTGAATCGAAATTTTAATTTGACAACAAGTATCCGATTCTGGAATCGGAATCGATTTTCGATTCCCAACCCTACTTAAAACTAAAACACCTGGTTTGCTCTCTCACACACACGGAGTGGGAACCCAGGAGAAAGTGAAAATCAGTTTGAAAACAGACAAATAAAAAAATATATACGAGTCTTAGCATGCTAGCAGCTTTTTGTTCATCAGCTGGAAATTAAACTTTTAAAGATATCATGTATTAACATGTTGGATTTTATATTTATATTATAGTTTATAGCAGGGATCCTCAAATCTGTCCCACAAGATCCACTTTCCTGCAGAGTTTAGCTCTAACACTAATTAAACACACCTGAGCATGCTAATCAATGTCTTCAGGATCATTAATAGAAAATCACAGGGAGGTTAGTTTGATCAGGGTTGGAGCTAAACTCTGCAGTGCATTGGCCCTCCAGGGCAAGATTTGAGGAACCCTGGTTTATAGTGTATATCATACTACACTACCATAATACAATTTGCTGGGTACTCAAAAATATACATTTTCTTTCAGGAGAATGAAAACCTGTAAAACATGGGTTTGCACAAAAATAGACAATCCACTTAATTTCAGAGAACAAGCTTTTAGCATTTGTAAGTACATCATGGCAATGAAACGCAACAATAAACTTTTGTTAAATAAACCTAATTAGAATTTCTCAGGCAAGATTTATGCCAACAAGAAGCACTAATAAGCATTGTGTACTATGACAGAACATCAGTAGAAAGCCCAGGATGAGCAAGTGTGAGAGAGAACCTGCGGCCGGACGGCGGCCTCCTGTCGCCAGGAACGAGAGATCTATGGAAACACGCGTGCTAAAACAAACACGCCTGTAAGATCAGTGAACTCTAACACTTCACTGAGCCGAGACCAGAGCACTGCCATTCACTACTGAGAGAGAGAGATAGAGAGAGGGGAAAGGATCTTTGAGTGCCGTTTCTTTGCTGAATAGTTAATTGCATTAGCTGATTTAAAAAGAATGAATAGGAAAGAAGGAAAGGGGGGAGGTATGAGAAGAAAAAAAAAAATCAAATCACACAAATGTTTTTCCTGTGTCGCCTTGTACAGACACAGCCGTACATAGACCAAGAGTTGTGTGAGAAACAAAACTGCCATATTCACAGGCATCAAACTGGGATGGTTATAAAGAAGAAAACTTGCCTTACAGGTCCAGAGCTGGTAATGTTCATGGTTTTGATTTAATGTACTATTATGCATTGAAAAACTGAAGGCTGCATCATATAGCAGTATATATGACAACAATGAATGTATACAAGTGGGTTTGAAAAAGACAAAAACATGTTTTGTTTGTTTGTTTGCTTTTTATTTGTGTTTTATTTATAACATGTATTTTATTAAATACATTTATCAATAACATTTACTTTATCCCAGCCCAAAATACTTTATCGAAAGCAAGAGTCAGTTGTACAAGAATTGCAAAGTTTGAAAATTTTCAACTACCCAAAGTAACGCAAATAACGAAAATAAAAAATTTACTCAAAGTAACATAAGCAAGGAAAGTAATACAAAATAATGTTAGTAAGCAAAGTAATTTGTTTTGTTTTGTCTAGCCAGGGCTACAAAGAGTCCTCAAACAAAAGTTTGTAGGTTTTCAGGTACAAAAAGTGACACAGGTAAGGTAAGTAAAAAAAGTAATGCAAATAAAGAAAGTAACAAAAGAAAGTAGTAATGTAAGCAAAGTAACGTAAGTAACAAAAGTGCCACAAGTAACACAAGTATGTAAAGTAAGGAAAGTAAAGCAAGTAACAACAGTGTCAAAAGTAAAGCAAGTAACACAAGTACAGTGGGTACGGAAAGTATTCAGACCCCCTTAAATTTTTCACTCTTTGTTATATTGCAGCCATTTGCAAAAATCATTTAAGTTAATTTTTTTTCCTCAATGTACACACAGCACCCCATATTGACAGAAAAACACAGAATTGTTGACATTTTTGCAGATTTATTAAAAAAGAAAAACTGAAATATCACATGGTCCTAAGTATTCAGACTCTTTGCTCAGTATTTAGTAGAAGCACCCTTTTGATCTAATACAGCCATGAGTCTTTTTGGGAAAGATGCAACAAGTTTTTCACACCTGGATTTGGGGATCCTCTGCCATTCCTCCTTGCAGATCCTCTCCAGTTCTGTCAGGTTGGATGGTAAACGTGAAGAATGTAAACAGGTGTTTTTTAGCAAACTCCATGCGGGCTTTCATGTGTCTTGCACTGAGGAGATGTCAAAAGTAAAGCAAGTAACACAAGTATCTAAAAAAGTAAAGTAAAGCAAGTAACGACATTGTCAAACGTAACACAAGTAACACAAGTATGTAAAGTAAAGCAAGTAACACAAGTATGTAAAGTAAGGAAAGTAAAGCAAGTAACAACAGTGTCAAAAGTAAAGCAAGTAACACAAGTATCTAAAAAAGTAAAGTAAAGCAAGTAACGACAATGTCAAATGTAACACAAGTATGTAAAGTAAGGAAAGTAAAGCAAGTAACGACAGTGTCAAAAGTAATGCAAGTATCACTAGTAACACAAGTATGTATAAAGTAAGGAAAGTAACAAAAGTATTATAAATAATGTAAGTAATAAAAGTGCTAAAACTAACGCATGTAAAGTAACAGAAGTAACTAAAGTAGAGTGTAGGGATGTAACGATTCACTCAACTCACGATTCAATTCGATTCACGATTTTGATATCTAAATTACATTGTATAAAGCAAAAACAGAATGGTTTGACTTCAGTTTTGTGAAACTATGCATAAAAAATATCTGCATGAAACAGAAACAGCAGACGAGCTGAACGAGATGCAGATTCACTCTCTGCCAGAAGGTGGAGCTTAAAGCGTTTCCTTGGTTTCCGCTGTAAACAAAGCAGCGCTGCACTTATGAACTTTAATATGCATTATACAGAGGCAAGAGGAAAAGAAAAAATACCATCAAAAGGCAGTAAGTTCCCCTCAGACGTACATTCATATAAACTCCTACCCCTAAATGAATCGCGATTTGTTTAGCATCTCAACCGATTTAAATCGTCACATATTTAAATCGATTTTCAACCGGCTCGCGGTTAATCGTTACATCCTTAGTAGAGAGACACCGATATGAAATTTCTCAGCTGATTCTGAAAGCCGATTATTCAGAATGATATCTGCCGATGCCGATACTGATAGTTTGGCGAAAAGCAAAAAGCGATGTAAGTCTTCACTGCTTTCCTAGAAGAAGAGAAAAGAATGGGAAGATGCCTGTGGATGAATAAAACTTCCTTAAGACCCGCGTCTTTGTTCTCTCCACTTTAGCCCTGCTGACTTTGAGGCTTTTAGTAAACCACAGCTACTGAAAGTGCTTACAGGTGGTGATGGATATAAGCGTAGGCTATGGAGTCGCCACATATACAAAAACAAGTGTAAAAGTTGGTGCTAGAGGTCGATTAATCGGCCGATTTTTGGCATTTTTTAATTAATCGGCATCGGCCGATTGTGCTGCAAATTAGGCCGATTTATAGGCAGGTGCATCTGTGGGCAGCTAATGTTGTTGCGGAATGCCAGATAATCTCTCTCTGGCTGCGTGAGAGACGGAGCAACTCACACTCTGCAGCCGCTTCTTGTTCACACACAGCTTCAGCTAATGGTAGCAGGGTATGGAGTCAATATAATGCCACATATATATGCAAAATAATAAAGTTTTGCAAACGAAAATGAAAGTTTTGCAAACGAAAATTAAAGTATTGAGAAAAAATAAATGTGCTTTTTGCAAACAAAAGAATTGCAAAAGAAAATGAAGCATTGCGAGAGAAAAAAAATTTAAAAGTGCTTACAGGTGGTGATGGATATAAGCGTAGGCTATGGAGTCAATTTCAAGCCACATATACTTCCAAATAATTGAAGTATGAATAAAACTTCCTTAAGACCCGCGTCTTTGTTCTCTCCACTTTAGCCCTGCTGACTTTGAGGCTTTTAGTAAACCACAGCTACTGAAAGTGCTTACAGGTGGTGATGGATATAAGCGTAGGCTATGGAGTCAATTCCATGCCACATATACTTCCAAATAATTGAAGTATTGCAAACGAAAATTAAGTATTGAGAAAAAATAAATGTGCTTTTTGCAAACAAAAGAATTGCAAAAGAAAATGAAGCATTGCGAGAGAAAAAAAATAAAGTTTTGCAGACAAAAATAACGAATTGCAAAATACTTTGCAACATTTTTATTTGCAACGCTGCTTTTATTTTGCGTTTCAGTGAAGTGTGAGCTTGCGATACTGTTTTTTCCCTTTGCTTTGCGCTTCACGTTTTTGTGCGTTTCACTTTCTGGCATTGTTTTGACATGGGGGTGGAGTCAAGGGACTGGGGCGTGTACAACAGGCCTGGACACGCCTCCCTGGAAGTTATGTCATCGGCCTGAGACGCAGATCACAACTGATCAAGGCACTGTCGCGTCTGGGTGGATCATTTCCTTTTATTCGCTATCATTACTAGCACAATTTAACAGTAAACAAGCTTCTCTCTAGTGTTTTTATAGCTAACTAACCAACTCTGAACACTGGATAACTTTCCTGAGGTAAATGCAATGTTAAGTGACATTATTGTTCACAAGCCGTTTCATTTGATGTCTTTCGATTGAAATGCTGACTGAGCGATTATAAGTTGTAAGTTGTACTGTATCTTTCATACCTACTGATGTTCATTAATGTATATTTCATGCTATAACTTGTATTTAAGTGGAATAGACTTGCGCTCCAGCTGCTACAGCGATCTGTCACGCCACATTCAAGAGCATCAAAACAGCATTAATTGTTTGAATTTTGTGATAAATTATACAGGATTTGAAATATGAGGCTTTGTTTCTTATCAGAAGCTCTGTGTGATTATGTGACGGGAGGCGCATTGCAAAAAATGTGAAGGAAAAACCGTGGACCTGGCAACCCTGGATTGAACTCCGGGTGGTTCATAGGGTCAATTAAAACCTGCTTTAACGGCTCTGCGTTATTATTGCTTTAACCTGGACAGCCCTAAATTGCTCATAAAAAATTAAATTTTCTTCACAAGTTGCTGTCTTAAACTCTTTTTTGCTGCCTTTTGATTGACAGAAAATAGTCTGCCCAGATCATCAGCTGTTTTTAAACAATTGGCAGATGGCTGACAGTGCAGAACATTGTTTTTATCAGCCGATACCGATTATTGGCCGATACATCGGTGTATCTCTAAACTAAAGTAATATAAAGTAATGTAAAGCAAGTAAAAACAGTGTTAAAATAACACAAGTAACACAAGTAATGCGAGTATATAAAGGAAAGTAGTATAAGGAATGTAAAAGTAACAAACATGCTAAAAGTGACAAGTAACGCAATTATGTAAAGCAAAGAAAGTAACAAAAGTAATATAAGGAAAGTAATGCAAGTAATACAAGTGCTGAGAGTAACGCAATTATGTAAATTAAGTAAAGTTCCAAAAAAATAATATAACAAAAGTAGCAAAAGTACAAAAATAAACTTAAGTAACCCGAGAAAGGAAAGTAGTGAAAGTGAGACAGGTAATGTAAGTGAGGTGAATGACAAAAAGTAAAAAAAGTACAGAAAGTAATGTAAATAAAAATGCAAGTACAGGAAGTACAGAATGAAGTCATGTACAAATAGTAAAACAAGTAAGGAAAGCAAAAAAAGTACAAAAACTACTTTCATGAAGACAAAACAACGACTTGATAACCAGTGAGAGTGGAGTTAGCGGAGTTATCTCTCAAAGGTTATTGTGCAGATTAATGTGTGGATATATTTGCATTGTAAAGATAGTGTGAAAGAGAGCATAAATCAAATGAATTGTGCATGTGGAGAAACATACTATGTTTATGTAGAAAACTGGCGTCTGAGTCACCTTTGTGTCCCGTCCCTGACGGTGAGACAGGATGCCCTCGGAGTGCCTTCCTGTCCACACCCTCAGGGGAAATTTCCTCTCGATTGTGACCATGACAACAGTTACGAGAGGTCAAAAGCTCAAAAACACTTTTAAAAAGTTTTATGAGGCCCACCATCATTGTTTCCGCATGCTGAGATCACAGTAGAGTCGGAGAGAGCAAAGACATTCTGCCTGTCCACACCCTCAGGGGAAATTTCCTCTCGATTGTGACCATGACAACAGTTACGAGAGGTCAAAAGCTCAAAAACACTTTAAAAAAGTTTTATGAGGCCCACCATCATTGTTTCCGCATGCTGAGATCACAGTAGAGTCGGAGAGAGCAAAGACATTCTAACTAATAGCTAGTACGGCACATACAAGAAGTTCTGCACAAAATCTGAATGTCAAAAGGTCACGTGTCTGTTTTCATTTGTCAAGACACTTGCCTGTGACTCCTGGTCAAAATCGAAAGGACAATATCAAATGATCTCCATTTCATTTTAATACACATGACTACACGATTAAGTCCATCTGGTAAACATCTGATCCCCCACATTACATAGAGCGGATTGAAGAAACAAAGAGTTTCCAGTTGCATTCGAATCCATAAAAAAATTATCTAATACAATTCACATTTTTGTTTTGACTTTTTGTACATTTCCTTAATAGAAAGCACTTCCTTCAGGAAGGAAAATACATACGAGACGAATCTCGTCGGGATGATAACTGATGCGGATGCACTGAGCATTTCAGGACTAACTGTGAAATGAAAACATTTTGTAATATTCGTAAAGCTGTAGAATATGACAGTTTTGGAGGCGAAATATGCAATTTACGTAGACATTTTTCAAAAATGACATTTTAACCAAAAATTCTTATTTTGCATTAGACCTTATTTATTATTTTATACATAAACTATGCATAACATTTGTTTTGTAAAATGAATTCAGTGCAATATATTCACATGATAATACTCGTTCATTTCTTTTATATGAAACGCTATCCTCAAACTACAGGTAAGGGTGACGTAGGCACAAATAAGCCACGCCTCCTCAAAACAATAGTTATCAAATCACGAAAAAATGCCCCATTAATGGTTAGGGGCAAAATAATGCTTGATAACTATCCGTGCTGCACCCAAAACGCACTACTGATGCGAGTAAAATTAAATACAGGAGTGTCCGTTTTAATTGGTCTATTCCGTGCCTTTAGCTAGAGCTGAAAACAGTCTCCTCAGGTGAAATAAATCCAGAGCGAGACACAACAGCGCCTTTCGATCATCAACACAACATGCTAGGATTAAAATGAGCTTTAAAACTTCAAACCACGCTGTGTTCGTTCAAAGAGCCGAGGACAGACTTTAGTAAAGGATCAAATGCCTTCATATTGGGATAAAAGCGGGATGCCACGACATGGGAGCGACTTACCGAGCGACTGGAGCGTCGCTTCCTCGCCCCGCGCGTGAACATGTCTGCGGCGCTGGAGTGTCTCGCGAATGCTCTCATGCGTCCGCCGAAGTTTACTTCAGTCCGACGTAACTTCGTTTCGATGTTCCCCGCGGTCTGGCTTCTGGCCTGTAGAGCTCCGTGCTGAGAAGAGCGCCCCACCAGACGGGCTACACCTACAGGACAAGTGTTTAACTGTAGAGGAGCAGGAGCACCCCCGCGCACTCACACTACTGTAGGCTACACTATGCTCTCAGCACAAAAACAAGACGAATGCAATCTGTTTGTGAACACACTCCCCCTGAAAATCATGTTTTGAATGGATTTAGGTGTTTAGAAATATGTGTATAGTGTGTACCATGTCAAATCTGTATTGTGGTATACTGATTTGATCAGTTGTCTGTCTATCTATCTATCTATCTATCTATCTATCTATCTATCTATCTATCTATCTATCTATCTATCTATCTGTCTGTCTGTCTGTGTCTATCTATCTATCCATCCATCCATCTATCTATCTATCTCTGTCTGTTGATCTATCTGTCTATCTATCTATCTATCTATCTATCTATCTATCCATCCATCATCTATCTATCTATCTATCTATCTATCTATCTATCTATCTATCTATCTATCTATCTATCTATCTATC